GAGAATGCACCCGCATAAAATATTAATCTCTCTCTAACTTTTTTCTCTTTCTCTCTCTTATCCCTTTCTATCACCACTTCACATCTCTCTCTCTCCACATGAACACTCATTTTTCTCTCTCTACCTAAATATGCCAAAACAATTGGCGAAGTAGCTTCTTCTTAAATTTTTTAATAAACCTGCTTCTTTCACTAAATGTGATAATTAAAGTGCTCCTTCTTAAAAATTACCCTAATATAAATTTTAATCACAAAGGAACGCCTTTCATATCAACTTGAAGATAAGTAGAATTACAGACAATACTTAAAAAATACAACAGCCTAAGAAAACCTTTTTGGCATATCATGTAATGATACATATGTAAGTATTACCTGCGAGGAGGGAAGCAAGCGAGTGACCGTGGCTTCAAGCTTCTTTGATCCAATTGAATCATCGCCAAATGTTGCCTTGTACAAAGTAGATGAGATACCTTCAGAAACACACCTATCAGTTGAGAAATGTTGGCATGCAGCAGCAATCTCTTCATAGGTAAAGTTCCGAAGGCCTCCTCCGGCTAATGGAGGCAGAGGCAGGGGACCAGGATTTAGGACATGGTGGCCACTAGCAGTAGATTTAAAGCTTCCTATATTCTTCAGTACAGATTTGGCCCGCGGAGATGGCAATGGGAGAGGAACAGGATTTGAGAATCGCTGCTCTTTTGACGGTTCACCTCGGGCCTTAGATTCTTCTTGGTCATCCAATTCAATAGATGAATAAACATCTTGATCGATCACAATTAAGCTTGAAGGAGCAGATAGTGCCCGGGCTCTGCTATTGATTGTTCGGTTGGGTTGTTGAACTTTTTTGTTTCGACTCCTAAAACTTGGAGGTGCAGATTGGAGAGACGGCCCACGAACTTCTGGTTCAGGAAGGGCGGTGCTAATGTTCTCGTTTACAGAAACTAGCTTCCTGCTCAGAGAATGCGCACTTACCTTCTTCTTGCCTCTCAAAACTGTAAAGCAGCCCATCCTGTCAAGTCCAGAAAGTTTGGTTTCACCATACAGTGGGAAGAGAAAAAGTGATAATAAACAATCAAGACAAGTTGACATGAAGGACACAGACAAACTACAATCAAAGAACAAGCTACTGAGTTTTAGTAAGATGGGATTCTCCTCTGCCTCTAAGGAGAAGGCGAGAAACCAAATTCCCTTAAAACACAACCTGAAGTAGATTATAAATTAATGGATCAAATATAGATCAAAACTTAAAGGTGGCCATACAAAAAAGCTCTGGCAGAATATCTAGCTAAGCATAAAAAAACATTATTAAGAAAAAGTGTATTCAGGCTAGTTAGTCTGCAATATAAAAATGAAATTTTAATGTCAACCTCTACCATTCTTCATTACTGCGTTCCTCGTTTAGTCTAATTTACAAATAGGTTCCTCGCACAATGGATACACCTTGATTAATTCTAGATGGTAGGAAAGATAAAATAAACTATACATTAGCACAATTCAAAATGATAAGCATGATATGCAATTCAACAAAATATGATTACATAGCATATATGGATACTATTTCAATTACAATTACCAGGAATTAACAGTTTAATAAAATATAGCATCTAAGGCAGACAAATTGACAGTTGCATCAAGTGCAAAATCATATTAAGCTCTCATTTTTAGCTTCGAGAAACCATTAGGTCTTATATGGTATAATTAACATTACATGACTACTTTATAGCTATGAAAATATAGAAACCCAACCTGAAAACTCAAGAAAATAATGTACTAGCACTGGTAGATACAGTTACACCTTAGTGGTTTTTTTTTTTTTTTTTTTTTGCTTTGGGACATTTAACCCTCTTCTTGTTGATAAGACTAGAGAGGGAGTTGAAGGTAAACTTGAATTATGGAGGTCAACCTTAGAGTCTAAAGGTTTTCGCTTGAGTAGATCTAAAACGGAAATATGGAGTGTAATTTTAGTAGTAATAGACCTAGTGAGGGGATTGTGACTTTGGACGATCAAGTCATTAATAAGAATACACGTTTTAGATATCTTGATCTATTGTTCAGAGTGATGGTGAAAATAGATGGGGATATTATCAGCAGAATTCAAGTTGGATGGTTGAAGTGGAGGAATGCATCGGGCTTGTTATGTGATAGAAATGTACCCCTCAAACTAAGTGAAAATTCTATAAGATGGTAGTGAGGCCTGCAATGCTTTATGGTGCCGAATATTGGCCATTAAAAGAGAAGCATAATACTAAGTAAGTGTGGCAGATATGAGCATGTCTCATGTGGATGAGTGGCTTTACCTTTAGAGATAGGATACGAAATGAGCATTTAACGTAAAAAGGTTGGATTAGCTCCAGTAGAAGATAAGATTAGAGAGAGTCGACTTAGATGGTTTGGTCACATAAAAAGGCGGCTTTCCGATGACCCGGTTAGGAGAGTAGAGGTATTAGATTTGACTTTTGTTAAGAAAGGTGACTTGGTTAGAAAATATTAAGAATGACCTTTCTTATTAGATTTAAACAAGAATTTGACTTTTAATATGACACAATGGCGAAAAAGGATTCATGTAGCCCGACCCCACGTAGTGGGATAAAGGCTTGATGTTGTTGTTTGTTGTGGGACATTTACCCAAGATCTCCTTGGTTGGTAGCCAAAGCACCCAACCAACAAGCCAAGTGGCTGAGTTACACCTCAGTAAACCCTTAGAAAACTATTCTATCTTGCAGCTCCTTCACTTAATTTCCAAAGCTAACAGGGTGATACCAAACAGATAACAAGAAAGGAAAATCAATTAACTTATTTTACTAAGTTAAGTAAGCTAAGATAGCTTTGTCCACCTAACATAATTGTTCAATAAGATTAATCACAATTTCGACTTTTTGGTATCAGAGAAGGCAAGTTTCAGCAAGTGGTCAAATTAAACGGCACAATCATGCTAAATAAAAAAACCAAGGGCATCATCACATCAAACCAAACAATCTCTTCCCCAAAACGTAAGACTTTGCAACAAAAAAATACATCCAAATCCCTTCCAATTCTCAATGGCTGCCAAAAACTTCCAAATTTAACAAAGAATATTCGAAATAGCTTACCAACGCACAGATCTTAATAAAAAAGGCAATCCCTCACCAGCTCACATCTTTCAGCATCAGAAAAGTGCAAACCCTAAATCCCTAAACTACGCAACATGAATCCAGCAAAAAAGCACACATTTTGCAGATCTCCCGATAACCCGTAAGCTTCTCTAGCTCCTCTAAATCCAATTATGGAATGATTTGTAAGATATTTCGCCAAATAAAACCACAAAAAAGAACAAAAACATTGGCAACCTTACCTCCGTAGAAGCTCTCCCTGTTCGCCAATCCGAACGCAAAACAGAGGAATAACTTTGAGCTATCGCCAGTAAGGAACGAGACAAGGAGGATGAAAGAATAAAGGCAGAATGCAAATAACAGATATTTAAAAAATAGTAAATTTAAATGGAGAAAGCAACGTCAGAGGCAGAATACAGAGTTGATGGAGACCAAGCGGCTCTCTGGTCAAAGCCGCAGATATAGCGAAAGCTAAAATGATGACTGCTTTTGGCGTTTTCCCTCTTGCCGACTTCCCAAAATGTCCCGCTTGTTGCGTAAAAATAACTATATTACCACTCCCAGACTCCCAGAGGACTTGTAATCCAGCTAAAAGGGAAATAAAAAAATATATTTAAAATAATATATATTTTTAAGATTTACTCGAATATTATTTAGAGTTCTAGTTAATGATGAGTGGTTAGCTTTTTATCCCTCTTTTTTTTTTTCCTTAATTAATATTTATATAATTAGCTATCTATCCCACCTCTTTATACGTTGTTGTTGGAGAAATTTTCTATTCGGATCATTTTTTCTAATTCTTCAGAACGACTCTTCTCATTATAAGAGCTGGCGTTTTCAATTTAAAAATTACTGGACCCATAAAAATGATTAGACACTCTCCTTAATGTTTTCTTGGAACCTTTTATTGGTAATCCGATTGTGAACTTTTGTCACAAACTTGGCAAGATGAAGAGTTGTATCAAATCTAAAAACAGGGCCTCCTCCACTGTTATTGAAGAAACTTTAAGGAAGTTGCATGATAGGCAAAATTTTTGCCTATACCTTCTGAAATATGATCCTACTATTGTGCAACTCAATGCTGACCTTAAAGCCATAAATTTCGAAATTACTGTTCTCACTGATTATTGGTCCTCTTGGATTATTCAAAGATTCAAAGACCTAAGACGAAGTGGTTAAAGCATGAGGAAGATGATATTAATTTTCTTTATTTGAGAATTCGAATAAGGAATAACTACAATGGTGCTTCTATTATTTCGGCAATGGATAATAGTCTTGGCTCTTCCAATAATGCTTCTACCTTTATTGTACAACACTTTCAAAAAGCTTACAATCCTGCCCTTCCCTCTATTGTTGATTTTTCTTCTTTCACTATTGTGATGTTATTCCTCATCACCTTGCCTCTTTGCTTGCAAGTCCTATCTCCATTACAGAAATAAAAGATGCAGTTTTTTCGGGTGCCTCCTCTTTCTTCATCTAGGTCGGATGGGTTTAACTTTCACTTCTATAAATTGGGTTAGCATATTTTGGTCCCCTCGCTTTGCAAAGCTGTTTTGTTTTTCCTTGAAAAAGGCTATATGCCGAGAAGGATTAAAGATATGGGTATTGCTCTTATCTCTAAGTCATCACATGTTGACTCTATTGTGGATTTTAGGCTTATCTCACTCTTTAACACATTATATAAGATCATTACTAAAATTTTGGCTTCTAGGCTCAAGCATATTATGCCTCTCTTTATCAATAAGTCTCAAGCTGGTTAAACAGAATTGCCACGGATAACATCATTTTGGCTACTGAAATGCTTGTCTTTTTCAAAAGATGCAATAAAGGCAATGTTATGTGTGCAAAAATTGGATATTAAGAAGGTTTTTTATTCTCTTTCTAGAGATTTCCTGCTTAAGAGAATGGCTCAAAAAGGATTTCCTTCAATTTTTATTAGATGGGTTCAGGCTTGTATCACCAGTGCATTTCTCTGTTTGTTTGGATGGTAATTTGGAAGGTTTTTTCCCTCCCTTCCACTGCTGGGCTTAGGAAGGGGTGTCCTTTAAGTCCATACTTTTTCTGCATTGCTATGGATGCTCTTTATTGTCTTTTGGATTCTAATGCCATTGGTAATGGTTTCGAGGCATTTGATATTAATGGCTTTCATATTTCTCATTTATTATATGTTGATGATCTTCTTATATTTGGTAAATCTTCCCATACCCAACTTCTCAGTTTTGAAGGTTATTCTAGCCACTTTTGATGGCTCGTTTGGTCTTATGGTCAATCCCCAAAAGAGTTCTATTATGTTGCACCATAATAAT